TGGTTGTGCATAATTAATGCATTGTTCCGTATTTGGCTTTTGTGCCTTTCATACAGATTTCATCTTAAAGGATGCTTCTGGGTTCTGTGCTCACAAAAGCACACTCTGCGGATTTCATGACTTTTGCTTTTGGGTTTTGAGGAGACCCTTGCTTGAGTTTTCCTAAAGAAGATGATCTGTGTGGATACAATACTCAATGTCTTTTAAATTTTTCAGCAACTATTTATCCAGTGCCTAGCACTGTGCTTCCAAAGCGTTGGAAATGAATGGCGGCAATATAGTTACTATTACTAATATTAATATTAGACAGGAAGAGGAGGAGGAGGAGGGGAGGATGATGAGGATATTTTAACATGCCACTGAGGCATGAAGTTTACAGGTAACTTCCCCTGCATTATTTTTTTTCTGAATCTTCAGCAGTCCTGTGAGGTGGGATCATCAGTCTGATTTTCAAAACTAAATACCTGGGGCTCAGAGCACCAAATGACTTACCAAAAACCACCTGCAAAAAAGATCGCTTGAGCCTGGGAGTTCAAGGCTGCAGTGAGCCCTGATTGCACCACTGCACTCCTACTTGGGTGACAGAGCAAGACCCTGTCCCCAAACAAAAACCAAACAAAGCAACACAAAAGACCCACATGCTGGGCAAGTGGCTGAGTTCAGGTGGAAATCCCCTACCCTGCCCTGTAGAACCTCTCCTTCCCACCGTGCTGTGTTGCTGCAGCCAAGCTGTTGCCCTTTTGGGGAACAGAGGTGGAGGACCAGAGGGCGCCTTCATGAAGCCACCAGGCTCTAGTGGAAAAGCGTCGAGCCGAGGGAAACCTGCAAACCCAGTTCCCATTCATGCCCACTGTCGAGAATGCTTTGGGGGGGCATCCTCTACATGGTTTCTTCCTGGGAAAAGGCAGCACTCCCTCAGTCTGCCCTCTTGCCAAGTAGAGGAGTTGTAAGAACATGTTTTCTATTGATTTTTAAAAGCAATTCAGGACCCAACTGGTAATAATCGGTGTGACCTGTGCTGTTCTCCAGGCAGTCACAAGCAGCTCAGAGCCTTGTTGTGTGACTCTGATGTTTGGGATGTGCATTCTTTGAAGATTACTTCTAAAGCAAGGCGTCCAAATCCTTAATTCACGATTCTGTCTATTCCTGTGGTGTTTACATTCCACCATGGCAGAAGATCACTGTGAAGAAGAAAGATGAAAATGCACTTTTAAAAAGGGCTTTTCTTGTGTGGGCCTCCTTCAAAGACCCTAACCCTTTCCCCTCTTGTTGACGCCGAGGTCTGTGTTTCATCTACAGGGAACATATATATTAATGGATGATTTAAAGGTTTGTCACACTGTGGTGACACATGCAGGCTGAGCTCTCGGGGCACTGAGCTGCGTGGAGTAAGTGCTGGTGTGATTTCGGGTGTTGGGGCAGGTCTCTCTGGCATCGTCTGTCTGTCAAAGGGCTCTCGTGTATTTTGCTAGGAAGCGCTTTCTGCCCTTTTGCTGAAGTCGGGTCCGCAAGGGTCTTGGGGAAAGTGGCTGGTGAAGCAGATTGATTTGGCCGGTAAGCAGAGCAGGACCTTGCTAGGGCTGGTCATAAAGAGAGGGACGAGTCTTCTACTTAGAGAAGTCATTGAGCTTTGGAGTCTGAGAGCTGAGTAATGTGCAGACACAGGGACTGGGAAGACCCTTTGATTCTCTAAACAGCAAGACAACTATGATTTCTCTCCTGTCTCTACCACTCCTTCCATATGATTCAAAAGGCACTATAAAAGCATAACATATACAAGGACCAAGTTAGTTCTGATTTTTCCAATGATGTCTGTTTTGATGCCTCTTTTGTTTGTTTGTTTGAGAGGGGCAGATATCAAGTGTCAAATACTTTAAAAATAGAATTCCTTTTTAATAAAAGTGGTATTATTGCTTCCTCATTTTTAAGGAGTTTTCAAAGCACCTATAGCCTGTGGAAGATGTTACACAGCGTTTAGGTTTGTGGTCGCTGTAAACTTGAGACTCATGACCCGATCTACAAAGAACATGTGGGGGTCTGTCTACTTCCCTCTGTCCCTGCAGTCAGCAACACTGTGGATACTCAGGATTCCCTATCATCAGCGGGGAATAAGCCACAAGGCCACCTGATCACAGAGCACTCCCTGGGTGCCCTTGAGTATCTGCGTTCAGATGGGTGTGGTTCTACATAAGACCGTGTGTCTGCATTTTCTGGGGCCAATCAGAAACCATTTCTGATGCTGTTTGGGCCACCCATCAAGTACATGAACGTGAACAATGATGAAATGATGGTTCGCAGGTGGAACCCAAGATGCCCTCTCAATTCCTATAAGGTTGGTTGGTGTAATGGCCTTAGGAAAAGAGCCAGGTTTTTGCATTGGTCAGAGCACTGAGTTTTTCTATAATGTGTTGAAGGGGGAGCAGGAGCTCACCAGTCTTCCTGCTGATGGTCCCCAGGACCCTTTAAAAACAGCCTCCTTAGCATGTTGCTGCCTGTTCAAGGCATCATGTTGCCTTGAAATTGAAAAAAAAAATTAAATAGTGAATTCTTCCACTTGTTTTAATTTTTTTTTATTTCCATAGGTTTTTGGGAAACAGATGGTGTTTGGTTACATGAGTAGCAGTGATTTGTGAGGGTTTGGCACACCCATCTCCTGAGAGGTATACACTGCACCCAATTTATAGTCTTTTATTCCCCTTTAGTCTCCAAAGTCCACTGTGTCATTCTTATGCATTTGCATTCTCATAGTTTAGCTCCCACTGAGGAGTGAGAACATACGATGTTTGATTTTTCCATTCCTGATTTACTTCACTTAGAATAATAGTCTCCAATCCCATCCAGGTTGCTGTGAATGCCATTAATTCATTCTTTTTTGTGGCCATGTAGTATTCCATTGTGTATATATATACACTAAAGAGCTTTTGCACAGCAAAAAGGCCAACAGAGGAAACAGAAAACCCACAGAGTGGGAGAAAATCCTCACAATCTATACATGTGACAGAGGACTAATATCCAGAATCTGCAACAAACTCAAACAAATTAGCAAGAAAAAAAAAATCCCCTAAAAAAGTGGGCTAAGGACATGAATAAAAGATTCTCAAAAGAAGATATACAAATGGCCAACAAACTTATGAAAAAATGCTCAACATCACTAAGGATCAGCGAAATGCAAATCCAAACCACAGTGCAACACCACCTTACTCCTGCCAGAATGGCCATGATCAAAAAATCTTCACTTTTACAAATATCTTCTATTCTCTTTAAGGAATGCTCCCTAAAATTCTTGTTGGCTCTGGCTGGCTGTGGCTGGGGACCACGTTCCCTAGTGTCACCAGGGGGATCCGCTGCCTCAGGGGGAGCTGAAGAAACCTCTGGAGGGTGGAAGGCTGGGGTGTGTACCTTGAGATCAGGTGAGAGGCCTTATCCTTCACCTCCTTCAAGTCAACAGCATTCCTAGTGATAAGAATGGACTCTGGGTGTCTTATTGTGTTTTCTGCCCATCCGTATGCCATAGCCCGAAAGACATGTGCCTACCTTTTTTTTTTCCTTTTGAGTGAGTAGTCATGGCCATTAGACACCAGTGCCTGGGCCCATCAGCAATCCAGAATAAAGGAACCCCCAAAATGGGAATCTTTGCCTGCATAATGGAGTGGCTAAGGTGTCAAGCTGGGTTGGAGACCAAGATTAGATCCACAGCCTAATTCTCGGTAGATTCTCCGTCAGATCCCAGATAGATGAGCTTGGTAGCTCTAAAGAGTTTTTTGTACCTCCATAGGAATGGCAGAAGGGACAGATTCCTCACTGTAGGAATATTTAGGGCTTGTCTTATTATTTTAAAAAGTGGCTGTGATTCTCATAAAACAAATTCAATTTTACCTTCATTTATTTTGTGGGGCTTTAAAGAAGGTAGAGAGTATTTTGAAATGCTGCTGATGATGGTGATGGTGATGGTGATGTGCAGTAGCAAGGTGAGAGGATTTGGAATCAGTTTCTGAAGCACACACCCACAGTGCGCATTCCCGTTGGAACCATCACCCTTTAGGCAAATCTCTCCCCTTGGAAGCTTTCAGATCATCAGCCTCCTTACATAGGAAGACCCTCCGAGTCAAATGTGGAGAGGAATCCTAGCTGGTGTTTCCAGAGGGCAGTGTGAATGATAAATACTGTTCATATTCAGAAGGAAAAATTGATTTTAAAAATATGCCTTTGATTCACTAATCTCTGACATTGAGACATTTTTTGAAGTCTGTTGCTATAATTAGAATTCTATAAGCCATTTCATGTCTCTATCAAAATTTTAAGAGACATAGAAAATTTAAGGTTTTTTTTTGGCTTACAATTCATCATATCAACGCGAGTCTTATTGCAGTTTGGGCTTCAGTGTGGAGCAATATTTCGGGGCCAGGGACACGCGTTCTCTCATCAGGGCTGTGTTGACAGCAGCTTCTCTGCTGCCCAACAATGCACAGCTTGGATTTTAAGAATTGCTCGTGAATTGTGTTTCTGTGTTGTTTTGATTTGTTTTTCCCAGCTGAAATGTGGGGCTGGAGGCAGGAGACTGTGTCATTCAGAATCTGTGTGCCTGCTTCCCCACCCATGGGCTGTGTCTGTGTGTGCCCCGGCTGGGTGGGTGGACGGGGAGGGGTCTCGGGGAGGCTTGGTTGCTGGGGACATGTGGGGTGGCACCGACAGTACCAGCCGGGCTCAGGTGAGTCACGGCTGTGCTTCGAGATGGGTAATTGGTGGCATGTGGTCTGTGAGCCATGTGTGAGAGCCCTTCCTTAGTCACAGGGAAGGGAACAAGCGTCGCAAATAAAAGCCTCATCAGATTAGTGAGTCAGAAAAGACGCTAATCCCAACCCGATGCTTCATTTCTACTTTTTTTTTCCTCCTTCCAAAAGCAGAAGCTGTTCCTGTTCTTTAAGGAAAAAAAAATTAGAATCAGTTTTCTAAAAGACCGATTTAACCACAATCAAAAGTGGTGGGGGGGTGCGGGCCGTGTCACTATTGCAGTATGACGATTAGCATGAAGATGAGTTGCACTTTAGCCGGGCTGAAACTTGTTCCTAACAGAATGTTAAATACTTAGTGAAAAGAAAGATTATGTCTATCTAGTTACACCATTCCTTGATATATGCTCCATGTCAGAATGCCATTGTCTCCTGGGTAAAGACGGAGAGTTCAAATACCCACTATCTCTCCCCTGGTGCTCCGAATGCTCTTCTTTGAAGTTTTTATAATCCATCTGTCATCTTCTAGCAAGGAGGGCACATGTTCTGTACCACTCAATTACAGAATTCTCCTTTGCCAGCTCCAATGAGACAGGAAAGAATGTTATGAGTGGTTGAGAGAAACTGTCAGATATACTAAATTCCTAGGATTCATATGCACGGTGTTTTTCCAGGGTAGAAACACAACCCGCCTTATTGTTCAAGTGCATTAGGGATACATTTGGCATTGGGGTAGAGAACCTTTGATTTTTTTTTTTAACTCTCTTCCAGAGAGTTATCTTCAATTTGATTGTTCTTGTTTGAAAAAAGAAAATCATCCAAACCTCCTCTGGAATGTGGACCCTTCAATGTGAACTGAAAATGTGACATTTGTTTTAGCCAACTAGGAGTCGGTAGCCCAACTGTGCAGAGATTGGGAAGTAGCAAAGTGCTTTTGTTTCTGTGGTTTCACTTTAGCGAAATAGGATTTTTACTTGGGCTTGATAGAAGATGGTGACTAGATAAATCCTGATCCCCACAGAAATAATTTTCAGCATCAGATGAGCTGAAAGCCTGAACATTAAATGTTCTGCCATCTGGCGAAATCTGAAAAAGTTAACACTGGGCTGAAAAGTCTTTAAAATGGGTTATTTTATTTAAAGGCAATCTACCTTGGAGTGGTTAGTGTTTCTCGATATCATGTTAACTTCTCACTCATTGAGTCACGGGTGGTTAAATTCGTTGTCTTATGTGAAATGAGTTTGATGATCTCGGCTTAGCCTCTAGTGGGTATTAATTCACATTATGAAATATCCCAGAATAATTTAGCACCGTGTGGCATAATTTGCATTTTTACTCAAGATAGGGGCAATGATAGCATCTCTGGATCTATTCTCCCCCACCTTTTTTTTCTTCGTTCAAAAGAGGATGGCTCTCGTTTGTGGCTTTCAGGGTGATTGTTGGTGGGGTTTGCTCTTATTAATTTTGTGGGAACATACGGCTTTAGAGCTTGGGGTGGTGAGAAGAGGAAATTTTAGCTTGGGTGCTAAAACCCAACAGGAAATATTTGCAGGGAGGTAGTTGCAGCTGAGATGGGCTGGGATTTCGTGACCCTGCAATTGCTGACATCTCCTACATGCATGTAAATTTCACACAGAAGCACATGCATGAGCCTAAAGAACATGGAATCGGGTGGATGCATTCAGTTTGGGGGACCACACGTGTCCCTCAATTTGTAAAAAGCATCCTTTTCCTTTACAAAGCAGGAAGGTTTTCCAGAAATACAGGATACGATTACAGTAATTAATTTAGTGAAACTTCTTAAATCTGATCCTCTGTTCAAACCGATAATGCCAGGATGGGGTGGCTCGATGTCATTAATTGAAATCTGGAGACAATAAAAAAAAATGTCTTTCTGCAACTTCAATACAGCAGTCTGGAATGGTCGGGTCAGGCTGTGAACCAATTTTCTTCTCATTACTTTTGATTTTGGAGTCAATACAAATTTCATCAGTGATTGTAGGGTGCAGGTCTTCGTCTGCGTAGACCCTGTCATGGGAGAATATGTGCGCTTGGTTTAAAGATTTACGGAGAAGTGGTGCTGGTTACTCAGGAAAGAGAGGAAGGAAATGCTGAAGCCAACAGCCTCCTTGGAAACTGCTCTGGTGCTCAGGGGTGATTAGCATGGAGAGGCGTTGGAGTGTGGGGAGAGCGCTGGACCCCAGGAGGCCTCTGCATCTGCAGACCACTGGGGGCAGCTGGCGGCAGCCTCTGTGACTCCCTTGCTCTTCCTTCCAGACCCGTGCCTTTAGCCCAAGTTTCTCTCTCCTTTTTTCTTTTCTCTCCCATGTCCCCTAAATTTACAGCTGTGGAGAGAGTCCTTCTGCAGCACACAGAATTTAAGGCCGCACAGAAACTTAAGGGTAGAAAAAAAGAAAAAAGAGGAGACTCAACTTTATAAGGAGTTGGTGAAATTCTGAAAGCATCCTGGGCAAAAAGTCTTTTGTGTGGAAACAGAGATGCAAGACATCTTAGGCGATTCCTCATTTTTCCTGCGTGCAATTTGCATCTGTGCAAGTCATGGGATCGGCCCATCCATCATTAGGTATTGGCCTAATTGGACATTTTTTACGAGCCCAGTTTGCTATTTATGTTAAAAGCAATTCGCAGAAATGCCCTTTCTTCATGATTCGGTATTGGCAATAGAGACGTATGTTTAATCACATTTTCCATGAGTAATTATCTAATTCACATGATTACCAATATAAAACAGGGAAATAGAACAGGGGCTTAACTCAGTCCTGCTTGGGCAGTGACACGGGTGCCCAGAAAGGCCAGAGTGAGGGCGAGTGGCGGCTGGTTCTGTTTCCTTCTGTCGTATCGTGGAGATTTTTATTAGCAACAGGAGCTCCCTGAAGCCGGGCCTGTGGAAGAGAGAGGCTATTTGGGATTCTGTTATAATGCAGTTTGAGGTTCAGTCTGTCTGCTTGGGTTCTTAACGTTTGGGGCTGTCCTTTTTGAAGATTTCCGGGAGACGGAGGTCACATTTTTTATTCATGTTGAAAAATATTCATTTATCAGTATTGGTGCAACTGTAAACAAGTGATAAACTGACAACATTTACAACAGTAAAACTGACAGCATTTACTTTAATTTTCTGTCATTTTGGTAATTATATCAATCAAGATCCAAAACTAAAATGATATTTTAGCATGCAGTAAGAAATGAGGAATTCAGATCTTAAAAGACCATTACAATTAGCTTTGAGATGTTCGCCGTTTTACCATAATTGTTTCATATAGCTTATATGTCTTCATTTACAGCCGAATATTCTGTTGATCTTTTATAAACAAAGTAGCACCCATCTGCTCCTTGAGACACTCCTGGCGCCTATTCATTGCAGAAATAATACATGTCCTAATGACTTCCACATATTTTGAAATCTCCCTTTTGAAATTGGTCTTGGCAGATTATTTGCAGGTACTTGAGTTGCATCTGTTTGCAATTTTGCAAATGCGGAAGACTTTAATGTTCAGCGCTGCAAGAGGGCTATTTTAATCCTCAGATAACATTGGCTGTCATCAAAAGCCACATTTATCTCTTCGAAGGTGGGGCAAATGTTTAATGTTAAAAGACAGTAAAAGGTCAAGGCCAAGTCTGGGGTCTGAATATTTTCCTTTCATACGCCATGCCTTTTGGAAACTCTCTCTTGCATTTCTTTTTATTTAAGTTTTAGCTTAATAACCACTGCCAAGAGGATGTTTTGCTGATAAAATGAAAGATCAGGAAGAGAGTAAATCAGAAATAATAGTGAACTCCAGGCTCCTGGGCTCATTACCACCATGTGGCTAGCAGCTGACCAGCTTTGGGTTGACTCTGTTTACAGGGAAGAACTAAACAGCGCGGTGTTGGAGAATACTGGGGCCTTGAATGCTGTTGCTGGTCCACCACGCAGGAGGGGCTGAAGCTCTGGGAGGGCAGGTGGTCACCAAAGGCCAGCATACTGTCAGTGACAGTGAGCTGATGCTGCTCCGGGGCGGACCCCTTGCATCCAGAAGAGCTGCTCACTGTAAGAGTCTGCATGGGAATTTGTTTCCTCTTTGTTCAAACTCTGAAGCCCAGATCACTGAAGTTAAGTGAAGGTCCTTTCCTATCGCTGTCTTTGACCTGGTCAACCTTGAGCACACAGAGCAAGCTATCTTGTCACTAGGGTTTTTGGACTCTACAGAACTAGGGCAGCGGACAGGTTGTTACCGGCTTCCTTTCTGATGCCTCCTCTTTGGTCCTCATGGGAGTCTGTGTGTGCCATGTGGAGCTATCCTGAGCCGTTGGTTCTCCACTGGCTGCCATTTTGGCCATGATCCTTACATCTGAGAATAAGGTGTTAGCCCATTTTGTGTTTAAATGGAAGTAGTTAGCCATGGAGACTCACTGGTGGCTGCAAATATGCTAACCATGATGGTGTTGATACAGGACCTACAAAACCAGTTCACCTCCAGGCCACTTCCAACGACGCTGGTGACAGAAGGGCTGAAATTTTGGCCGGGTGCAGAGGTTCATGCCTGTAATCCCAGCACTCTGGGAGGCTGAGGCAGGTGGATCATGAGGTCAAAAGATTGAGACCATCCTGGCCAACATGGTGAAAGCTGAAACTAGCTGAAACTAGCTCCATCCTCCTCTTCAACCTGAGAACAAGTAGGAGCTTCACAGAAAACCAGGCACAGCCCAGGATCTTGAGGTTTAACCTAAGAAAGGCCTGCTTACATCCTCGGGTGTTTCTGTGTATTTTTCCCGCAAAAAAAATGTTGATCATATAGTTGTATAATGTATAGTTGTTTCCTGTCTCATATAGTTGAAAATGCCTCTGGCATAGAAAGGGAAAGTACCTTAACTGTGTTATCAAAGAGTACTTTATCACCATTCCTCATCAGAGAGCACCTTGGTCATCTCTACCGGCTGGTACCGTTTCATAGATGAATGTTTGACAAATGTGTATATTTGTCTGATTAGTTCTTTAGTACATAAGTCCCATGTAGTCATCAAAAATTTTTATTTATTTTTATTTTTTAATTTTTGAGATAGAGTCTGGCTCTGTCCCCCAGGCTGGAGTGCAGTGGCATGACCTCAGCTCACTGCAACCTCTGCCTCCTAGGTTCAAGCAATTCTCCTGCCTCCTAGGTTCAAGCAATTCTCCTGCCTCAGCCTCCCGAGGAGCTGGAATTATAGGTGTGCACTACCACACCTGGCAAATTTTTATATTTTTAGTAGAGACAGGGTTTCATCATGGTGTCCAGGCTGGTCTCGAGCTCCTGATCTCAAGTGATCCACCTGCCTTGGCCTCCCAAAGTGCTGGGATTACAGGCATGAGCCACTGTGCCCAGCAAAAAAAAAATTAATTTTTTATTATTGCATTCAAATAAGTACAGCATTAAAAATATAATAAATTTCGGCCGGGTGCAGAGGTTCATGCCTGTAATCCCAGCACTCTGGGAGGCCGAGGCAGGTGGATCATGAGGTCAAAAGATTGAGACCATCCTGGCCAACATGGTGAAACCCCATCTCTATAAAAAAAAATATAAAAATTAGCTGGGCATGGTGGCTTGCACATGTAATCCAAGCTACTCGGGAGGCTGAGGCAGGAGAATTGCTTGAACCCGGGAGGCAGAGGTTGCAGTGAGCTCAGGTGATGCCACTGCACTCCAGCCTGGAGACAGAGCAAGACTCCTCTCTCTGAGGTTAAATCTAAGAGAAGCTTGTAGCAACTCAGCCCCTCCTTTTTCATTTTGTTTGCAGTTGTGGGTGGGGAGAGGGTAGTGATTTTACACAGAACAGGAACTGGCATCCAAGGTTTTTGCTTTTTCTGCGTCATTTATATTCTGATGCTTTCATGTATGGGTGATTACACTTTAAAGAGAAAAGACCTCACACTCTTCTGATGATCAAAATTTCACATTACCAAAGGGATACATTGGGGAGCAGGGATGAATGCCATCTTTTCCTTACAGAAAAAAAATGCAGCAGCAGGTCCTGAGATGAACTAGGGCCGTGGTCCTGGTACAACAGCATGGGGGTCACCAGGGAGCTTGTTAGAAATGCAGATCCCAAGCCCCACCCCAGACCCATCTAATCAGAAACTCTGTGAGTGGGGCCTAGCAGTTTGTATTTTAACAAGCCCTCTAGGTAAGTCTGATGCATACCGAGGTCTAAGAACCACTGCTATTGGGGCTATAAAATGGCAATGGCTTTTCCAAGGCTAGAAACCGAATCCCATCCTCCAGAACTTTCCGTCGTCATCATCTGTCGTCTTGGTGTCCCAGAGGCCATGCTACAAGCCTATAGACCCATCCTGTAAGCCTAGTTGTTTGTTTAAAATGTGAAAGAACAGATAGGTGGACATTGGGTGCTTCTTTCTTTTTTTTTTTCTCTTTCTTTCTTTTTTTTTGAGACAGACTCTTGCTCTGTCGCCCAGGCTGGAGTGCAGTGGTGTGATCTTCGCTCACCTCCTGGGTTCAGCAATTCTGTTGTCTCAGCTTCCCCTGTAGCTGGGAATGCAGGCACCCACCACCATGCCTGGCTAATTTTTTTGTATTTTTAGTAGAGATGAAGTTTCACCATGTTGGCCAGGCTGGTCTCGAACTCCTGACTTCAAGTGATTCACCTGCCTTGGCCTCCCAAAGTGCTGGGATTACAGGCATGAGCCACCGTGCCTGGGCATTAGATGCTTCTCTCTTCTGTCTTTTTTAGAGATTATTTATTGGGCTTTCTTTTTTTTTTACAAGTTTACTGCTTGATCATTAAGATCTTGAAAAATGTAGAGGTGACTCTGATGTCTAAAGTGTATTTATTTTAGACTTGAATTCAGGTCAGTGTAAAATGTCCGTTCATTGACTTTTGAATCCTGCTTCTTGTGGGGCATGAGGTGTTTCCTTGTTCAGGTTGGGGAACGTTACAGCAGTTGTTCCTGTCCAGGAAATATCTACAATTTGTGGAGTCATTAGAGTCGTCTTTTTAAGAGTTTGCTGGGTAGGAGAAGAGGATTCCCCTACTCACTGCAGAGCTTCTGCCGGAGTGTTTCTGGGCAGAAGCCACAGCTGTGTGAGTGTAGTGAGATGCTGCGAAGAAGGGTTGGTGGTTCAAGCCCAAGGCCAGCCTCTGTTGCACGTTGGCCATTGGCAATTGTCAGGTAGAGCTTTCTTGGCAGTGAGACTCTTGGTGAGTTCAGGATGGAGTCAGAAGGAAATTCGTTGGCCACCCGCTGTGCTGCCACTGAGAATCCTTCTTTAGGTTGGGAAGTGACAGGGTGATGGCTTTCTGCTAGGAAGTTATGACCCAGGCATCAGCTATGGCCACCATACTTGATAGAGTCTAGCAAACCTGCAGAGGCTTCAGCCCCCGGAGCAGGAGGAACAAGCACAGGCAGATGCGTGGGCATGGTCTTCATTGGCCTTCATACCCCCAAACCTAGTCCTGCTCCTAGAAGTAAGGAGACCAAGACCTTCATGCTTCACACCCCCTGGCCCACCCCATTGACTCCACAGGCTCAGCTGCACCTGTTGAGCTCTCTGCAAATGTGGCTCCCACTGTGTGAGAGTATTCTGTGTGATACCTAGATTATTGGGTACTTAAAGACCTACTAGAAAAATATAACTAGCACATTATAGCTGTGAGTTTTGCAGTTGCTATTGCTTAAGATGAGGCTAAGTTATAAAAAGGAAAAAAAAAAGAGTAGATGTAGTGGCTTATGCCTGTATGTGCTATCGTTCAGCTCTTTGGGAGGCTGAGGTGGGAGGACAGCTTGAGCCCAGAAGTTTGAGACCAATCTGGGAACCATAACAAGACCTTGTCTCTCAAAACATTTAAAAATTAGCCAGATGTGGTGGTGCATACCTGTAATCCCAGCTACTCAGGAGGCTAAGGTGGGAGGATCATTTGAGCCCAAGAGTTCAAAGCTCCAGTGAGCTATGATCACACCACCACACTCCAGCCTGGGCAACCGAGAGGTACCCTGTCAAAAAAAGAAAAAAGTGAGCTGATTTAAAGTTAACTTTTAGAAAGAATATTAAGTAAATAAAGGTCTGGATGGCACAAAGTTATGGCGGGAACCGTGAAGAAGGGCTGTGGATGGCTGAGTTGTGGAGCAGGGTGAGAGTGGCCAGTGTTTCCTGAACCTCCCTTGACATTCCCTGGGGAGGGCTTCTGCACCTGGCAGAAGCATGGCTGGCCCGTCCTGGTGAGTATTTTATTGAGAGGATTCCCACCCTGCTTCACATCTCAGGTTGCTGGTGGGCGCACTTCTGCGTCTCATTGGCAATGCAATTACTGGCACCATGGGAGGTCTGCAGGTTCAAAGCTAGTGATGAGAAATCTAGTTCACCCCTTTCAGAAATACGGGTTTGGTTTAGGTGGCGATGGTGATGTTTCATCAAAGAAAAACTCCACCAACCCGTAAAAGACAAATAAGAACACAGAGCCCAGTGCTCCTCCATCAGCAGGAGCCCCGGGGTGAGCGGCTGAGCCTGCCTGGCTGGTCTCCTCATCATTCTCTCTTCCTCCTTTTCCATAGTGTCTGCCCAGGACATAGGTCCTCCAGGTGCAGGTGGGAAGAGACAGTCGTAGAGCTGTGCCACTGTGATTCCCTGAGACATCCACATGACAGAAGCACTTGTGCCTTGTAACTTTGGGCTGATGCATGGGTTGATGCATGGGGCTTGCGCTGATTCAGAGGCCACGTTCCTTGGTTTCTGGCAGCAGGCTTTGCTCCTGCATTTCAAGGCTGTGGGTTCTGGGGACTGACAGAGGGGCAGCAAGGCAGCCTTGTGCTTCCTGAACTCAGCTATGCTGCTGCCCTGTGTGTGCTGCCCCAGGAGGGAGGGCTCATCCATGGTTGTGATGAGATGCAACATGGACTTGTCTTGCTGGTGTTCGTGGAGTGCTGTGGCATCCTCAAGCTCTTGGTTGCCAGATGCTCAGAGGGATCTGGGTCATTGGTGGAGAGTGCGGGGCAACAGTGTCACCTCCCTACAGTGGTGGGGACGTAGGGAGACCTCACCCTCAGGCAGGGACTGCCCG